AATTCATTTTTTGAAGTGCATAGATCATCTCTTTTCGAGTATTTTAAATTATTGTTCACAAATAATCCAACCCCACCAGCATTTGATAGAGGTTGTGAAAAAAATTATACCCACTAATGTCAATATTAATTATGCACTCTTGTTGCTGTTTTATCTTTGTTTCCGAAATTTCAATCCCAGAAAATGGAAACTTTAATTGGGAGAGTAGTAAAGAAAGTTTATCAATATTGGCTGCAAGACTCCTAATATTACAGTGTATGGTTGAAAAAACATCATGTTTGGATAAAGAGGAAATTACCCTACAATTGAGAAAATCCTGCTCGGAATAATAATTAAAATTTATCTGACTAGGAACATGTTGATCAATATCAACATTTTGTAAGATTGGAATCTTTTATATTGCTGAGGCAACAGCAAAGCAAGGCAAATCATTTAGATCTAAGTCACTCATGATTAACATTAAATATACAAGTTCCATCTATTATTAAGCCTTGTACTAATTTACCACACAACAAATATTAAATAGATTGGTAATATATAAACTTATCTTGAAAGTCTCTGCAGATCTTGAATGTTCTCAATATGTATAGCTGAGCTGTCTTTATCCTTACGTAAGTAGATTTTCCCATAACGTGTCCATATAAATTGAAAACCAATTTCCCTTTCCTTTTCAAGACATGCTTTAAACAGAAACTGACGTTTCTTAGTTAAGCTCTCCACCATAAAAATCTTCTATTCTACATGTCTAGTGTAGCCTAGATCTTTCAAACTGCCATTTCTCAAAGTGTACAGCTTATCTCTAATATCTCGTCGTGTAAATTTAATAATAATAGCTGGTACTGGAATTGTACTGAAAGAACGACCAGAACGGGTAGTGCCAGCAGCTGGGGTCCCCAAGCGATGACTAATAGATATATCAGTTTTGGTAATATCAATCCCAAGTTTAGATGCCAATTTTATGGCAATTTCATTAGTATTCTCGTCAGGAACCAAAGGAATCGCTCTTATTTTGAAATATTCTCGTCCTCCATACTGCTCAAGTTCATCTTGAGCAATTTTCAATAGATCATTTTCACCCTTTGTGTTAGCAAGATCACGTTTTAAAATAGAGTTCTAATCTTTTAGCTTTTTCATTCCTGCTTCCACATTTATAGCTTTATCATTTAGCTCATCATATTTTGCACTTAGAAACGATAACGAACACATAGCTTCATCAACTTTAGTATTTAAATCGTCGAATTTCGAGAATAAAGGCTTCAATTTTCGATCAAAGATAGCTTCCAAATTTTTTATTTCTGTTGCCATTTTGACGAATATGCTTATAAGGACATAAAAACATATAAATAGTAAAAGAACAGTAATCATTGACACCAGATTGATATGGATTGAGTAAGCATTTTACGGAGCGATAAAACAACCTCCATCTTGCTTGGTGACCAGAATGCTATTCTAATAGGCAAATGGTTTACTATGTTATTTCACTCTTTGCGGTACCAGACTATTTCACTTGTCAAGGGAAGATCCTTTAATATGTGCTTACAGTGTAAAGCCAGCCTGATTATTTCGACCTGCTATGCTGTTATTTAGTGTTCATAGACTTTGAAACAGTCACTTTCTAAAAAAATGAATGATGATTTAAAATTTGCATATATAGCAGGATCAAATTGTTGGGTTGGTTTAAACATTGCTGCTTATTAATATTAAAATTCTCTTCTCTAATTTCTCTAAAGATATTTTCTATACATAGAATAAGTATCAGTGCAAATTTCTACCTGAACTAAAATTTCAATTATTCCTTTTTCTTCAAGATTATGTTCAATTTGTTTGTCAAAGCAGAGTCCGCTAGTAGCATAGGAACTAGTTATGCATCAATGAACCGATGTGGAAAGACTAATGCAAAGAAAGGGCCGGACAAGAACTATAATTCATTCAAAGAGTTCATGGACAGAGAAACTGAGGCACACGTTATTGCAAAGTGGATGGTTTTGCTGGAATTGAGAATTTTAAAGGTATAAAGCCAACCATTTATATTTTTCATTTAATGTTTAATTTAAAAACATTTTTCATTGCTGGATCGAATTCTTTTTTTCTATTAATTTATCTATAGTCAACTGCATATTTATTATGTATCTTACCATGTATAAGATAGAAGAAACATTTTGAATTATGTTTCTACAGACACCCCTAAAAACAGGCCAATCCCTGCAGACGCAGATACATGGACTGTTGAAGAAAAGTCATCATGGTTGGCTTCAGAGACGAAGGAATTCCTAAGTGGTGTCTTGTTAAAGCAAGAAGATTTCACCAATAGGGTTAGCATATTGATGCAGCTCACAGGGAGGGCTTTCCTTGTCGTAGTCCCAACTGCCAAACTGTATTCTCCTTACATTCAAGTAGAGTAAGGTATGTGTAGTGACATAGAGAAATTATTCTTTCCACATGGCTTCGTTTATAAATGATCAAGAAACAATCGTGAATTGACCTAAGCACCCATATATGAGAAAATGTTAAGCAAAGTTAAACATCCTAATAATTTAAAATATTCATTACAGGCATGAACTATCACAGCATCCTGGATTGGACATTGAAAATGATGGTGACCATGACAGGGACTGCTTGGGTTATTACAAGTGCAGGAATGAAGAGTGTAGGCATATTTTCACTACTAATGCAACACGAAAAAGTTAATGATAAAAATAGAAAGTTTGGCCTTCTCTTGAAAAACAATTAAAGAAGAGTGAAATGAGGGTATAACAAAGCAATACAATGATACTAGTTATGAGGAAATTCGTTTCACTTGCTAGGTTAGCTAGCAGACCTTAGCAAGTTGATCTATTAAGTTCTCTTGTTAACCTATCAAGTTACATTGTGCACTACATGTATTAATTTATTCTTTATTATTTATTATTTATTCTTTAACAGTAAGGCCAGGCAGTTTTTGCACCAAATTGAACCGATTATCAGTATCACCATCAGAGTTTATTACTCGATCTTTATAAAATACTATTTTTTTAAACAGACATGAAAAACAATTGCATCAGGTGGAACATTTCCATGAAGCAGAAAAAGATAAAGAACCACCCAATGATGAAGAAAATAATGCAAATACCTCCAATGGCAATATCTACAACTATCACAATGCAAGGTTACAATGTGGTCTCCTGGTATTAAATATGATGGATGCAATAAAAGAAAGGGATGGCAGCCGACTGGTGCGGTGTTTGAAGATAGTTTTACTATTTGAGTACAAGTTTAAGCATACTAAATATGCTTATGTTTTGTTGCTATTTTTTGCAAAAGTCAATACACTTTTGTCAAAAAAATATGCATATTTGCTTGTACATAATAGATTTATCAACAAAATGGGAAAAAGCAGGAAACATTCCCATAAAATCTTCATATGGAACATCTTAACCTAGATGTCAAAAAACTCCTCAATGCAATAAGTGGGAAAATCACCAAAGCAGCAGCTCAGCGATGTGCACAAAGCTTAACAGTAACAAATACAGTGTTGGAAACCATTTATCACGAGTGTGAAAAATCCCATCGCAGTGGTTATCCTGGGGAGAAAAATAAAGATGAATTAATGTGAAGTCCATTGCTGCATATCTGTTACAAGGCAAAGTGTTTGATATCACATTCGCGGGAGATATTATCCAGGTTTTGAACGTTGCAAGAGTAACATTCTTGATATTGAATACAGGGATTTCTTCACATGGGCAAAGAACCACCTTAAACATTGGAAAGGGATTTATGAAACAGGAAACAAACAATAATAAGCTGTCATTCATACATTAATATTTTTGTAATACTTGTTTACAAGCCAGTAAATACTAACTAGGGATCCAAGGATAGTGTGAAGTTTAAAATTGAAAAAGACACTGCAAGAACTATATAGGGTTGCCGACAACCTAGAAAAGCTGATGACTTACGCTACGAAATAAACAGTTACCAAAGGCATTTCATCTCATTATTTATTGCTTTTAATACGCTCAGCACACAAGTAGCGTGACGTTTGAAACAAGCCTACCACATCAGAAACTTGCCTTGTGAAACTGATGCAATTTATCTATTTATTGTGATGCTACACGCGACAATTCGAAATTTAAACAGTTTTACCAACAACCAAATTTTGCATATTCTAAATTTTTATTTGCATTTCCAGCTGTCGCTAAAAGCATCCCCATGAGGCTACTGCTATGCTAAATTTATCTAAAACTATAATTGAAATAGCTGTATAAGATGTGTTATGAATAATAAGCACTACGTCGTTACATCATTAAAAGGACGCGTTTTATCCTCATCCGTTCCGTATTTTATCCGCATATCCGTTCCGTGGATCCGCTTCATCCGCTTCCGCTTTTTAACCTAATTGTGACATGTTTTACAATAACAAGTCTCATTGACCTTTGACTTTTCCCAGTGTCACGTCTATTTTCAGCTTTTCGCATGCATTGAATAATGTCACTTTAAATTTCAATAGTTTCACAGTTAAGCAGTGTTTAAAGCAGTTTTGACAAGCTTTGATACAGTTCTGTGTACAGAATACTACAGATTGATTCCAGTACGATCTGGTAGAGTTATCGTTGAACTGTACACGAATTTGCACCGTTGACAACGGCGTTGTGCTAGACAGTAAACAAAGGTCGAAGACAAGGTCCGTGACGGTAGACGTTGGCTACATATGTACCTCCTTGCTTTTTTCTTCTATTGCATAAAGCTTGTTGGCGAGCCAAGCGATTGGCGAGAACACGTTGGCGATAACAGATTCGCTATCTCCTCGTCTTTCTTATTTAAGGTGCTCTGACTCAACTGATTTCTTTAATAGTCTCGCAAGTCGCAAAGTTGTTTATGCTTTTTATTGATCTGATACAGATCTGATGCAATTTTTCGCTCTTTGTAGTGAGTGTAGCCATCTATTCTGTGATGTAGCACCTTATACAGTCAATGACAATGTATAATGAATACACGGTCTAATATCGATGGGCACTTACCTGAATGCCAGTAATGCATAACATAAATTTACATATTGTATTATTGCGTAGAATCTCAAAGATTTACTCAATATTCACGTCTGAAATGTTTATACATCTGAAAACAGCACTGTCACTCCTTCCTAGCATATCGTCACGCCATCGTGATCTATGGCTTGATAGCGCATGCGCACTTGCGCTACTAAAGAAAAAAATGGGTGTTCCGGGGTAAAGATCCTTTACACAACACGGAGAAGCGAATGTTCTAAAATTTACAAAAAATTACAATAACGAAAGCGACTCCTCGAAATTTTTGTGAACTTGGCAAAAGGATAACAGAACATGTAAATAAGTTAACTGAAATTGCCTCAATAACCTTCAAAGTACTGACTAAGAACAATATATCACTACGAACATAAATCGTATACACCCCCCGGAAAGTTTACCCTATGACTGACTGACTGACTGACTGACTGCTAGAAATTGCTTAATTCAAAATGGCGGATAGTCATGGCCTGCAAGGCTCCGCCAATTCCAGAAGTAATAGCCGTATTTTGGCTGAGTCTTTATCTCGTGTAGCGGAATTGAATGAAGAAAGTGGTTCTATGGTGGAATCTGACTTATCGGAGTTGAATACATCATGTGTAGACCGAGATATTGGCGAAGGTGTCGGAGGGGATTTGGCTTCAAAATCCGACGAGGCATACGAGGATTTTCTGAAGGCTATTAAAGCTGGAAATACTGAGGTAACAGAGATATTGAAATACGTAAACATTATAGAAAGAGATATTCTAGATACCTCAACTGAGGAAGTTAAACAAAAACTATTAAAGTACAGTTCGATCAGTCTAAATGGTATGAGGACAGGGATAATTGAGCTTTGTAAACATAAGTTTTCTCAATTTCCAAAGAGTAAACCATTCCGGCGATTAAACAGACAGGGAGGGCGTCCTGCAACCGAGAAATTAGCAACGGATATACTTAATCTGGTGAAATTTTGTAGTTCAGGCGAGGTGACAAGTGAAATAAATGATATATTTCCGAAACCGCCATCTCAGGGTGTACAATCTTTCTTGAATGTTGTGGCCGAAAATGCAGATGAATTTCAAAACTTAATTAATCCTAAGTGCAGCCAAGACGAACGAGAGCGATTCTCGTCGCTTTTAGAAAAGCTAGACGAGAATTATTATCAACTAAAAGACGATTTTGATCAGGCTATGATAAGCATGAAGCAGGAAATTACTGATTTAAAAAAAAATATGTGCGATAAAGAAGTTAAAATTTCGACTTTAAAGGAACAGTGTGCCGAGTTGAAAGCAAGCATTTCCGAAAGGGACACTAAAATCTGCTCACTAGAGTCCGAAATAGCTACCTTTAAAGCAAATTATAAACTGGAAAAACAGATTGTGACTGACAATTTAATGAGTCAGAATTTGAAATTGGCAGATAAGCATGATACTTTGGCCAAACTTGAGGAAAAATCTAACAAATGTTTTAAAGAAATCGATAAGCTAAAAAAACAACTATCTACAAACAACAGGTTATATGAGCCAGAAAACACAGGAGATTCGAGTGATACATTGTTTACCATTAATGAGCATTCGCCTAATTCGCGGGCGAAGCAGGGAAACAAAGAAAGCCAATCTTCCGTGTCAAATGCAAAACCAAATGCAAATACTGATCAAAGTAACAAGCCCCTCGTCAACACAGAACAAAACATTAACCCGGGCAATCAATCAGAACAGTCAATAATTCAAAATAAGGAAACAAATGATAAATCCAATGCAGAAACTCCTGCAATAGACAAAACCGCTACTGGGGTTAATTTAAACGAACACGAGAGTTCAGATTTCGTCGGGGTACAAAGAAAAAAAATAAAACGGCTATATCTCGGAGGCGTGCGTCTGGACACAACCATAGAAAAAATTAAAGAATACATGAAGCAAAAAGGCATTTCGCCAACGTTTATTCGAATTTTTAACAGCAAAAGAAAAGGCACAATTGCTGTCCGAGTTAACGTTAACGAGGAAGATTTTGATTGTGTATGTAACAATGACTTTTGGCCAAATCATGTCTATGCTAGGCAGTGGCTGTCAAAACAAAGTTGGGAAAAAAGAGGTGTATTACATAACCAAAATACGAGCCAACAAAACTAAATTTGGGTTGCTGGAATTGCGGTGGAATATATGGCAATTTTATTTATGCAAGAAAACTCTTGCAGAAATTAGACGTGTTAGCTTTAAGTGAACATTGGCTGTACAAAGATGAATTGTCATTTCTAGACAGTCTCAATGATAATTTTAGTGTTATTTCGTGTACAAGTTCGGATAATAACATCAGGGAAAGGTGGAAAAGAGGTCAAGGTGGCGTTGCTTTGTT